AACAGTATTTCAACGTTATCATTTTTTATTAATGTAAAACGTTAGATAGCTCCAAATTTTGTAAAACAAGCATTCCATTAACGTTAGTACCGCCTTTACGTTATACATCAATACTTTTTAAGAAATTCAATGTTTAATTCAATGATAACAAATTATAATATTGTTGACAATGTTATCCCGAGTGTAAGAAACTCTGGAAAAAACAAATAATATGTTAATAACAAATATATAGTATTGGTGGAATCAAAAACTTAACACATACAAAACAATAATAATATAAAATGTATGATGGCTTGAGGCGAGTGGTGGGCGTTGGCATAAAACTATGCGACGCCGGACAAATAACGGCGATGACTGTGAACGTGCACTGACGCAAAAAAACGGGAACGAAAAACGTCATTTTCGTACACTGACGAACTTGAACGAACTCGAACAAAAACGGACGAATTGTCCGGCAATTACAACGGGCTTCGCGGGTTCAAGAGGCGGCGGCGGTGACGAACGGTGGTAACTGGTAACATCGGCGGGATCACGGTGGCAGGGGATGAGGTTGAACTTTGAGGATATCATTCTAGGCCAACAAAACTCTGGCAGAAGCATATTCTGCGTGAAGCGTTGACCATGGATTTCCACATGAATCTTGTCGACCTCTTCAAGATGTTGCTGCAGGCATTATAGAATATCCGTTTGGTCGTCTGTATCCGCAGTCTTGAGAACAGGTGGCACTGGTGGTGGATCCATCTTTACTACCGAGTTGTTCGCGGGTGAGTCATTGGTCAGTTCTGGCGTCGACTGGAAACTCTCTGCAAGTCCGCACCGTAACGGACACGCGACAGTAGGTTATTGCGGTCACCGGCCAAGTCCAAAGCGTCGATCAAGGCTACCTTCATAGGCACAATCAGACGATTCTGTGTATCTTGAAGATTATAAAGTCATAATATGACGTAATAGTCAGTATATACATTTTTAAAATGCGATTACTTATTTAAAGAGGTTTACTAAAATTGTTAAAATTGTTATTTAGATCATTTCACAATGTAATAGTTGATTTTTCTGAAATTAATAAATTTTATTTTTAAAATAAATTAATGAACTAAAGAATATTATGATAATCGAATAAAGATGTATTTAATATTCCAACTATTAACACTCAATATGACAATATTGTATTATGTTGTAATGTTGTATTCATCTACAAATTTATTTTATTGTAGCCTCAAGGTAACCGAATGCATAGTAGGTACCTAACCTACATATTATAGACATAGAGAATATATTTTTATACATAACTTCTCAATTTAACGAATTGCTTATTAAAAATTTAAACATAGGTTATATGTGACTATGCTAGTATAAATTATAAACTAGTCTATATAGCCGTCTAGATCTTGGAGGCTAGAGTCATTGGAACACCCACTCCAACTATTGCATGAAGTGGTTGTATCATAAAAAAGCTATTCAAGCCGCCACTGTAGTATTATGATAAAATATAAATTGGTTCTAAACTGACCCAAAAATTCTTGGTGCCAGTATAGCGTATCTAGGATTTTTCAATGGGGGGAATATACAATTTTTAATAGACATTCGGGATACACATTATTTTCATATTTATTTATTTATTTATTTATTAATTTAAACTGGTAGAACCCAATTACAATTTTGTGGACTTAAATATATTAAAAAGAAATACAGTAAATATAGTATATGAATAATGAATATATATAAATAATAATATTAAAAACTAAAAAAACAATATAAAAATATAATTTAGACAATAATAATATAGGTAGTAGAAATAATTTAACTGTACCCAATATGGTTACAAAAACAATCAAACAGAGGGAAATTAAATAGATCTATCTGGACGTCATTAGTTATTTTCATTAATCTATTAATAGGCGAAGAAAGTGCGTAATTAGTTCTTTGAAATGGAATGTAAAAAGTATGTAAATATTATTATAAGCATTTTGTATTGTATACAAAATTTCTTCTCCGGAGGTGGGGGATATGACCCCCATATCCTTCCCCGTAGATACGTCACTGCTTGGTGCAATTTAGATTTTTTCCTGGTTGATGCACTGTCAACTGAACCATCTATGAACGGTTAAAAATTGCACCAATGCACCGTCAATGACACAATAATGAACTGTTAAAAACTGCACCAAAGAACCGTAAATGAACATTATTTGCACGTTGATTGAACTCGGTTCACACCATGTTAAAAACCGTATTTAAAACTCTCATCGGTCGGGGCACGGAGCCAATTTTGAACTGTGTTCCGCGCCGCAAATTTATACTTGTAAATGAACCTTCCATGAACCTTAATTGCTACTCGGGAATATATCAGAAGTTCATGTCTCAAAGCAATATTATTGTAATTATGTTATTGAATTATCGGTGGGGGGAGGGAGATGGATTTACTCGTTGTGCATCTATGATCATAAAACCAAATGAAATAAATAAGCGGGTAAGTTACTCTGCTGTATAGTAGGTTTCGAGTGTAGGTATACCGTATACATACCATACCTCGTTATTGAGTAGTTCACTGTGCCTAATGGAAGTGCTAAATTTGAATTAAACTATAAATCATACTATTGCTTACGAATAACGATTCTGATTGGAGACGGTAATTTCTAAGTATATTAATTTATCATTTATTTATATATTAAGTAGGACTTATTTTTATGACTAGTACGGGATGTTTACTTATGGAAATTTGACAAAAAATTCACACATATTTTACAATTAATTATTATTATATTGTTATTACCTAACTTAAGTCAATACCACGTACCACGTAGGATATTTTAAATAATTTCATGGCACATAAATAGCTCAAAATTAGTGTAAATATTTGGGAAATTTCATTGTGAAAATAAAATAATAATATACAAATAATATGAAAAGTTTCAAGTTAAATTATCAATTTTCTTTTAATTACAACATAATAACTAAGATACGAGGAACAATCGTTATTGATCTTCATATTATAAAATATATTCTGTTTCGTCAAAATTAAAACTTCAAATCACAATATATTGTGTTACGAACCCCTGAATCATATTATAAAATGATATTTAATTTACATGATAATTTTATGAACATCAGGAATAGTGTGTTATACGACGACGAGACCGTGGAATCCGCTGACACAGGGATTCGATTGTGACACGGAGCGTCGTCGTCTAAGACACTATTCGGGAGGCCACTAGGCCAGCCAGTCTTATTGTTACTTCTGAACCGATACATCGTATGTAAATCATTAGCCGCAATTATAATAAAGTATAAACTTTTAATAAATTATTTCTTTTTGCGTACGTTATTTTATTTGGTTGTGTATAATCATAACAATAGTCATACAATAATTGCATCATTAATGGCATGTTATTTAATTCCTGTTAGAATAAAATATTATAGCAGGTACATCTCAATTAAAAAAAAAAACTTACATTAACTTCAATTATAATGTTAGTTTCAATTTTATCATCAGGTGTTAGAATATTATAACCACTATTATCTTTCATAACCTCGCTGGTTTGGTATGCCATAGCTTAAATCTAACACTAATGCCATACACTAAGCACTAAAAGATGCGTCAACAGCAAGCACCTGTGTAATTAAAGTTAAAATAATATAATCAAAAATAAACTTTAAAATGAATGTGTACAAAAATATAGGTAATTCAAAAATTATTATAGTTAAAGATAAAATTCCTTTGAGCGAATCATCAATTTTCTTGATGCAGTTTTTATGATAATTATAAATAAGTTATGCTTACAAAAAATATAGTGCTATACACTAAGCATTAAAAGAAGCATCCGCAGCAAAACACCTGTGTAATATAAAGTTAAAATAATATAATCAAAAAAAAAGCTTTAAAATAAATATGTACAAAAATATAATTAAAGAATTATTATAGATTAGGAAAAAAATTCCTTTAAGCGAATCATCAATTTTCCTGTTGCAGTTTTTATGATGTTTATAGGTGGACCACTAAATTCATTGATATTGTTTATTTTACAATCATTGACTACTGTTTTTTTTTTCATCAATTTCAAAAGCTTCAAAATGTACATGAAAGTCTAAAATTTGGATTTGTTTAGATACTATATAAATATTGGAATAATCATTTACAACTATTATCTCTGAAATTTCAAACAAACACATTTCATCAATACATTTTGTTAAACAATAACCTCTTTTATATACAGTTCCCATATATTCAACTTGGCTGTAGCACTTATACGTTGTTAATGGAATATAAATTGTGTTTAATATTGCATCAGAATGAAGTGTACAAATACAATATTTTGGATTTATTACAATTGTTGTATTGTTAGACTGCAGAATAAAATGTCGCGACCCTCGTGCTAATACCTCTTATCTCACTTTTTTGAAATTGTTCAGGAGAGACAATAAACTAAATAAATCACTTTTCAATCAGAAAAATTTAATTTTTAGACTTTAACTTTATTTAATAACTATGATTAACTAGTAAATTGTATTAATTTCAACAATTAAGACAATTTTTTTTTATTTGTATGAGTTAAGTGTTATTTCGAAAATTTATGGGAGATGTGTGTTATTGTCATTAGGAGATTCGTGTTGTTATCATTAAATTATATTAGATAAGTGTTATTATTTACCATTAATAATAAAAAAAGATTAATTAATTATTAATATTTTCTTATAAATAAATAATTTACACGTCATGATATTCAATTTTAAAAAACATAACCTTTATTATTATTTATCATAGTAAAAACAGATAAATATAAATTGAACAAAAAATAAAATATCAACTTGTATATTATTAAAATAGAAATTAATAGAAATCAACTTATGAAAAATAAAAACAAAATAATAGAAACCAACTTGTTAAAAATAAAAATAAACAATATTTAAAACTTAAAAACAATAAATTTATAACTTATTTATGTTAGGAACATTAATTGTCATTTTAATTAAAGGAAATATAAAAAAAAAAAGTTTGAACATTTTTAAACTTTTGTAGTTTTGCGAGCCTTTAACTGTTGCTCGTGTGGTAAATTATCATAGAAATCATGCACATCTCTTGGCAAAACACCTTTTAGTTTCTGCAAATCATTCCACTTTGAAAGTGTTAGTACATTTCTACTTTGGTATAGGTTTGGTGCTTCTTTGTTGAAATCAATTATTTTTCTGGAACGATTATATTGAGGAATTTCCTGATACTCATCATCAAATTTTAACTTGAAATAAATTTTTTGAGAAATCGGATCATATTTTAATGCCCTAATATCCTTTACTTCTGGGTCTCCTTTTGATTTTCCTGGTCTTATGGATTTATAGAATAAAACATCTTTGTAGTCTTTAAAATCTGAATGAACCATCAAAATTGATTCATACGGACTGGGGTTTTGGCGTGCAGTCTTGGTAAGCTTCAAATAATCTGAAGGTAAATAAATTTCTTTATTTTTTATGACTTTTTCTATCATGCTATGGACACTGTCACAGGGCATCTGTGTATGTCCTTTAATCAAAAACTTTTGTTCAATTGTAATATTATTTTTAATAGCAAACTGGAGTAAAGCGTTTGATAAGACACTATTACGATTCTGGTACCCACATCCATCTGAATAAAGTATTATGTCATTTTGAGCTGTAGAATCTTTAATGCAATTTAGAGTTAAATGTTTAGTTATAAGGGATGCAAAAACAGATGCTTCTAACTCACCCTCTGATTCGTCCCACCAATAGTTTGAGCACTGGTGTTCTGGTGCTAAATTATACACAGTGAAATTATGTACTTTCAACTTCATACTGTAGTAAAGTGCACTGGCATTTAATGCTGGGCATAACTTGACTGCCTGTAAGTCCATGGTAAATACATTTTTTTTATATGCATGAGCATCAAGCGTATCTTTAGTAAGCTCTTCTCGGGCTCTGTCTTTTTCTTTAATATGCTGTTGATAGTCATTTTTACTCACCTGATTCACTTTATAACTAGAACATACGTCACATAAATCTTTCCTTGGTTTAAATATTGATAAATTTCTTTTTTTCATAAATGTAGAAAAAATACTTTTACTTAATGGATTTTTAATGGAGTCTTCAACACATTTTTGTACATAGGCAGAGTATATTTCCATTTTAGAATTAAAAGGCCCTTCAAGGTAAAGTCTGTTTGTTTTCTGTCTACAGTAGTGACTGGGCATCTTGGCTAAACTGTCAAACCATAAATTTAAGTGGTCATATCTCATCAAAACAGACCTTCGAGGAGACATTTCATCTTGGTCTCCATCAACTGCCACTTCATTAGAACCAATGTTTTTCAATTTTTTTTGTGGAAGTCAGTTTACTTGATTGGAGGAATGTAACCAATTTTTTATCATCCACTCATTAAGACCTAATGTATTCTGGAACATAGTCTTGCACACAACAAAGTTAACATCTCTGGATTTCAAATGATATATGTAAGAGAAATTTCTTCTACTGCTTTCTCCAGCAGCTGTTGTATCTTGTTTTTTTACCTGTTTTGATATCATGTTAATACAAAATGTTTTTTTTTCCTCCCAACTACATCTCCAAAAGTCATCGAACATGGTTTGTCTTTCATTTTCTAGGAAACTATTGCAGTGTCGTACCTTTGATTTAATGCAGGATAATGAAGTACAAGCAGGCTTTAATATTCTTTTTTCCCGTTTAGTATCATGGAATACTTTTTTTCCTTCCCTGTGATATCCAACATAACCCTGTCCATGCATTCTTTTTGTTTTAGCTTGTTCTCTTATCCATTCATTTTTGTCTGCGAAAAGTCTTCTTTTTCTTTTTCCAATTCTATTAACATTGGTGTCTAAACATGTAAAAATAATATTATTTTATACTTTCTAAACTGAATTTAAAAACATAAATATGTTGAGTTAAAAATAATACCTGAGGTAGTCATCTTAATATCAGATTCTATATTATCAATATCAATAGTTTGATTAGATAAATCATCAACACCAGCTGCAATTATAGGATCTAAAAAATAATTTAAAATAAATATAACACCACACATCATAAAAATATAAATATTATAGTTAAAAATAATACCTGAAATAGTCATCATAATATCATATTCTATATTATCAAGATCAACAGTTTGATTAGATACATCATCAACACCAGCTGCAATTATAGGATCTAAAAAATAATTTAAAATAAATATAACACCACACATCATAAAAATATAAATATTATAGTTAAAAATAATACCTGAGATAGTCATCATATCAGATTCTATATTATCAATATCAACAGTTTGATTAGATAAATCATCAACACCAGCTGCAATTATAGGATCTAAAAAATAATTTAAAATAAATATAACACCACACATCATAAAAATATAAATATTATAGTTAAAAATAATACCTGAAATAGTCATCATAATATCATATTCTGTATTATCAAGATCAACAGTTTGATTAGATACATCATCAACACCAGCTGCAATTATAGGATCTAAAAAATAATTTAAAATAAATATAACACCACACATCATAAAAATATAAATATTATGTTGAGTTAAAAATAATACCTGGGATAGTTATCATAATATCAGATTCTATATTTTCAATATCAACAGTTTGATTAGATAAATCATCAACACCAGCTGCAATTATAGGATCTAAAAAATAATTTAAAATAAATATAACACCACACATCATAAAAATATAAATATTATAGTTAAAAATAATACCTGAGATAGTCATCATATCAGATTCTATATTATCAATATCAACAGTTTGATTAGATAAATCATCAACACCAGCTGCAATTATAGGATCTAAAAAATAATTTAAAATAAATACAACACCACACATCATAAAAATATAAATATTATGTTGAGTTAAAAATAATACCTGAGGTAGTCATCATAATATCAGATTCTATATTATAAATATTAATAGTTTGATTAGATAAATCATCAACACAAGATGCAATTATAGGATCTAAAAAATAATTTAAAATAAATATAACACCACACATCATAAAAATATAAATATTATGTTGAGTTAAAAATAATACCTGAGGTAGTCATCATAATATCAGATTCTATATTATAAATATTAATAGTTTGATTAGATAAATCATCAACACAAGATGCAATTATAGGATCTAAAAAATAATTTAAAATAAATATAACACCACACATCATAAAAATATAAATATTATGTTGAGTTAAAAATAATACCTGAGGTAGTCATCATAATATCAGATTCTATATTATAAATATCAATAGTTTGATTAGATAAATCATCAACACAAGATGCAATTATAGGATCTAAAAAATAATTTAAAATAAATATAACACCACACATCATAAAAATATAAATATTATGTTGAGTTAAAAATAATACCTGAGGTAGTCATCAGGTACGAAGGTATATTATTATTGTATTGTTGATTTACCAAATTCAACATATATTTACATCTGTTCGATTGACAATTAGACCTTTTTTTAGGCATGGTGTACGACAGCTATAATATTATAATAGGAATAATACAGTATTAATCAAACAAGTTAAATATTGTACATTTTTATCAATTAATATTATATTACATTATGTTCCTGTTCTATAATTATTAACCTAATACTTAACAATAATAAATTACTATACTACCTTGCAACAAAACAGTTATACATACCTATTTGATCGAAGTTCTTAATAATAATATTTGAAGAAACGAACAAAAGCTCCGAACACCAACCAACGTTAAACACAATTTAAAAAAACACGAGATAAGTGTTATTCTACACAGAATTAAATACTTGTTATCACTACAAATGAGTTTTTGGAGGGAAAAACACAATAAAATTTTTCAGTCATGAATACAAATTACGCGCCATGATAACAGCTATACAGTGGTACCAATATCTCATTTTCGAAAAAAACTTGAGATAAGAGGTATTAGCACGAGGGTCGCGATGTGCAAATTTTAACTGAATTTTTTTTGCTAAAATTAAAGTTATATTTTTTCTTGAACAAGTAGAAGGAGCATACATTTTAATCTCTTTATATTTGCCTTCAAATCTCATACACTAATAACTTCTTGGTGAGCCAGAATATTGTATTATTGTAGGATAATGAATTAGAAAGTAGTGCTTTGGTTTCAAATTGTCTTCAAAAAGTGTTACATACAGAAAGTTATGTTGTTTAATCAACTGTTTTAAATTTAAATGAATTTTCAGTAAATGTATATGCCATAATTAAATCAACTATTTTAAGGAGCGTTAAAAAAAAGTTCCATACTTCACAATTATCTGGGATTAAATCTCCAACCGTAAGAGAGAAAAAATGAACAAATGTCATCATTTCTCTGACGGTCATTTTTAAATTACATTTATTTAGGTGTAATTCAGTTATATTTGGAGATATGTTTCCTACTTCAATAGGGCCATAGTTGAAATTAGCTTTTCGATTATTTAGTGTGGTCAAAGAAAATAGTTTAACAGTAGAAGTGAAATATTTTATGATATGGCACATGTCATAATGACATATTCCTTCAAAAATATCATGCATACTATTTGCACAAAACTTTTTAATGAATTCATAATAGACTGGTTATAAACACCAGTTTCACTAAAACACATCTTAGCCACATCTTCAGAATAATTTTGAATATTGCGCATAACTGATGCATCTTCTTCATAAAGCTCATTTGCTACAGATTTATGGATTTTACAAAATCTACAATAATAGTTTGCAGAAAACGGCTTACTAAATTCTAGTATACTATTTAATCCTAAATTGTCACCTAACACCAGGCTAAGTAGGAAATGTACACGAAAATCGCCATGTTCAGTAGATATGTACAATCCAATGTTTTCAAGTTCATTTAGTTCATTTATTAAAATTTTAAAACATTTATCATTTGCAAACTCTTTAATATCAATTGATTTTATTATTTGAAATTTCATTGTTAAGTATATTATTTTGCTGTTCATTAGGTGGTAATATTGTATTATTAGAATTTTGAGTAACATGTTTTTTTAGCATATGTCTTTTGAAAGAATACAGACAGTTAAATGATTGAGAGCAGAATTTTATTTATTTCTTAATTTGAATTTAGAAATAGAAATGTATACATACATGTAATTTTATACAAATATTTATACATATTGTAATATGGCATTATACTTAAATGATTGTCTCCGTAAGCTAGGCTTGTTGTGGAGACAAGGTTCTTAAAAATATCTCGTACATTTACTAAAATAATTAAATTATAGTTAAATTAACATTAAAAAATTAACATTATAATTAAAACATTATCAGTCGATCACAGTTGATTTAGTGATTATAAGATTTTAGAATAATAACATGGATACAAATTTTAAAAATATTTTAGAATACAGAATAAATATAACAATGAATATCAAACAAAATACAGATATAATAGAAATTATCTATGTTAGTAATTTAATTTTTTTCATTTACCATTTGCTTATATAATTTAAAGACTTTAAACCAACCAACGTCAATATTTAATTCCAGCATTCAAGGGGTTTCTTTTTCCAAATTCCGTTCTACACAAAGGAATTAAATACATATTGGTTTGTTTGGTTCTTGTACAATGGTTATGTTTAAATTTAAATTTTTGAACATCAAGGAAAAACTTACTCAATAATAAATGTCGTGCATATAATTGATTTAAATTTAATAGATTAAATTCTTTATATAACAATTCAGTGCTCATCCTATAAGGTTTTTTAAAATATATTTTAATGAGAGAACTTATAGTGGTTTCAAGTGAATTTAGATGTATATTGTAGGCACCACCCCAACTCAAAATACCATATGAATAAATTGGCTGAGCCATAGCTATGAAAACCATTCTCATTGTGTTGGGTGATAGTATGTTGCTAAGAGTTTTAAATTTATAGAACAATAGTCTGACCTTTCTAGTTGTATTAATAATATGATTTTGCCATTTAAGGTTAGCATCTATAGTAATACCTAGATATTTTACTTTTTGTACTGAAGAAATAGAAGTGCAATTACACTGACTGTCATTACTGATAGCAGACACTGTATTTATATTAAATTCATTACAATTTATGAGGTGCGCCTTGAGATAATTATTTCCAGTGGGTAACAATTTATTAATGCTAAAATTCATAAAGCAAGTTTTTGTTAAATTAAGTTGTAGTAGGTTATTATCAAAACATGTTTTGACGATACTTAATACATGAGTAGATTTACTATGAATATGATTTTTATTTATGTCATATATAATA